AATAAAACAAAAAAAACACATTATATTTGATACAGAACATTGCTTATCTACTGGAACTATATCAATTGTTATGAAATAAGTCACAATTCCAGAAATGTCCATTAGCAAAGAATCTTTAATTTATTTCAAAATAATATGTGAAATTGCATAAATTGTATTAGCATTCAGCACAATGCATGCTGATAAAGAGTAATGTTTTTTTTATACAATTTGAAACAAAACATCACATAGAATCAGCTTTGTGAAGTATTTACCATCACTGAATTTGGCAAAGATTTTTCTGACCGGAAAGTAAATATTGATGAATCTCCAATGTAGCATTGACATCAAATGAAAAAATTGGTATATAATAATAATGTTGGATTTCTACTACAGGTTAAAATGACTTTGAAACTTCAGATATTCTATTTTCAGATGAAATATCAGCATATAGCATAAGACATCAATGAGAAATCTAGCTTGACATCAATGAGAAATCTAGCTTGACATCAATGAGAAATCTAGCTTGACATCAATGAGAAATCTAGCTTGACATCAATGAGAAATCTAGCTTGACATCAAAATATAAAATGTTTTGATACAGTAAATGATTTGACAACTATATTCCAATTTGTATTGGAAGTACTTGTACGTGTAGTTGATTGCAAATGTTCAATATTTCAAGCTAGTCCTGATTGGAGCAGTTAGATAAATTGTACTATTATATTTTTGGTTATCAAAGAAACTCACAATAGTTTCAGATTCTTCTCAGTAGCATGTTTTAAATTCTGTTTGTTTGGGTCAAGTGCTTAATGGATTCAATCTTTTCTGAAATTATTATAACAGAAAAATTGTCCCATAGAAGACATTTTACAAAATCTATTTTAAAATGTTACCAAAATAGCTCCAGAACAGAATTGTTAGAGTGTTTTTTCTTGCATAGAGTAAAATGTCAGGTTCTGGTTTAATGAACGTGACCTTTTGTGGTTTGGTTTGCTGTACTTTTGACATTTGTGTTTGACATTAACTTCCATTTATACAATTGAAGTTTAAATCAGAAATTCAAAGCATCTTATTTTTTTAGTTGAAGTTCAGAAATTGCTGGTTAATAGTTTATAGAGTTTAGATTGGCAATTGAAAAAGTTTGTTTAACCACTGTGGTATTGTATTAAAGTTGAGTTGTCAACATTTAGTAACATAATATCTTGGTCTGGCAAGTTTAAGAATTTTAATGCAAATATTATGCATTGAAATCATCTGTCTGTTATTGATTTAGATTTGAAATCTTATTTCCTGTTCATCATAATATCAAATGAAGTTATTAGATTTTTTTCTAGCTTGAAAATTTAAAACTGAAGGGCCACCTGTTTGACAAAATTATTGACAAGCTATAGAAAACATGTCTACATTTTAATCATTTGTAGATATTGCAACCTCTACAATTTCTATGGATTGAATATGCATAAATGGAGAGCTCCATATATTATGTTACTTCAAAAGGTTAACAAATGGAATTAGTCAGTAGAGTGTCAAAAAATCATATGGAGAAAAAAAATAAAAAATAAAAAATATAAACTTTCAGTTTTGATCCTTAATTTAGAAATAATAATAGCCTCCGCTGCTAGTGAATATGGTACTGGAGTAATAATTTTGCATGAATTAGAGAATGGAAAATGAAAAATGTAACAGCTGGTCAAGAACATTATTGCCCACAGAGAAAACTTAAAGCCAAACAGAAAAGTAGACATTAGCAGCAATTTTTGCAATAAAGAGATTTTCGCAAAATCTATCACAAAAGATTTGTTTTGCAAACTCAGCAAAACCCACTAAGTTAAAAAAATTTTCAAATTCAAAATAGATTACAATAGCAAGTTACCAAATTATTAGCCTTTAATTATCAAATAGAATATCTACTGTTGAAAAAAAAAAAAAAAAAAAAAAAAAAAAAAAATACTGAAAGAATGTCTCAGTTACTTCCAAAGTATAAAACCACAACTGCCTTAATAAACCCTATCAGTGACAATGGATAAAAAAAAAAAAAAATTAAAATATCTACAAAGGAAAGACAAAATACAAACCTATAACAATTTTGGGGAAATAAAGATTCATTTTCTCTCTGGTAATTGTTTAACGTATATTCAAAATGTGTAATAATTTTAGGGATTCTTCAAAGTCAGATATTAAAACAACTTCATACTGGTCATCATTAAATAATGAGAAGTACATTGGCCAAGAATGGATCAAGATATTGAAAATTTAGTCAAGTCATGCAAAAATTGTAGCCTACAGAAATTCAACCATGACCTAAAACAAATAAATCATGGTTTAGATTACCAGAACAATAAATGGTATGGTTTAATGTACTCTTTTTATTCCTGGTACCTTACAAAGTGTGAGTTTTGAAAGTTGAAATATTTACTGCTTCATGAAATGCATGTAAATATGAAGGCTTCTAGCACATCCAGCTGTATACTTTCCTTTTCAACTAAAATAGCTCCATTGCTAAATATGGAACACAGACATATACAATTAAAGGATTTTTATTTGATATCATTTCTTTTTTATTATAAACTACTAATATATTTAATGAGTATATGTATTTCAGTAGACATCAGTTTAAAAGCAAAATTATAAAACACAGTGAAATTAATGTCCACCAGCTCAGAGTTTGAAAATGTTCCTCTTGACAGTAATTAAACTTGAATTCCCTATACCCAAATATCAAAAAAAAAAAAAAAAAAAAAAAAAAATGTGGAACAGCTTTCAAGCCAATCATACTTTAGCATAGAGCTACATAAAGCCATAACAGCAAAATAGGATGTAATTAACTTATCTACTCACTAAATATAGCATTTATACATATCATTAAGGGTAACTTCTCTCTTTTGAGAGGCACCTTTGCTTTGCTGGTTAGACATCAGGTTCCTGAACAGGAATATATTTGGTTTGCACAATGTAAACAAGTCTATTGAAGCATAGGTGGCACCAGTGTACATTGAGAACTATTAAACACAACATTGGTGAAAGCATTTGTGAAGCTGCAGATAATATTGGTGTATAACCTAGGATTCACATTCAGAAAGGATAGATGGCATATGATGAGTTGATAGACTACTGTCTGTCATTTTTCAAGCTTTTTGTTTCTCCCAACATTTGCATAGTTTACTAAAAAGCTTGGTTTGCTTTTTTCAAATCTATTGCATATATTATTGTCTAATATAGTGTTAATGAACATGTCAACTGAGATAATTGAAATGCAAGGTAGGTCAATGTGCTGGCTGATGAAAGGTAACATTTCTTTAGGCTAACTACTTAACTGAAGATTACTGTGGTTTTCACAAAGTAGAACATTACTTGCTGATCAGCCAGAGTGAACAACTGATGATTTATCTGACCAACTATATACTGTGGTCTTGCTATGGTGCAGAATCATATCCACTTCAGCAGGTTATCCTTTCAAGTTTCAAGATATTATTGCAAGAAAGTCAAAGTTGGAAACAGTTTGGTTACGATCTCTGTGTTGTCTTTATATACCAACATTATTTAAACACTGCAAAAATGATTGATTTAAAATAAGTGTGTAGATTCTTTTCCAATATCTCATTAATCATAGCCAATGAATGATCAGCTAAGAATAATCTTTTTGCTAAACTTAGAGCATGTGTGGTCATTGACCTGTTTTTTTTTTTTTTTAGTCTCTTACTTTTGTTAAATATTCTTTTGTGTCTTCCATTAGATAACAGGAATTATAGTTCTTAACCCTTAGAAGACAACAGGGCCAATCTATCAGCTGAAACATCAGATGACAAAAATGATGACTGGGCTGAACCATTGGCCTAGATGATCCATCGACTTGATAATACAAGCCTCGAGATTAGCTTGTTGGTTCTCGTACCAGCCAATCAGATTGCTTCTCTTATTTCTTGCACATCTGTGCCTTTCAATGGTGGTTTCTATGATAGTTTGCTGTGTTCTGTGATTTTATAATGACTTTTTTTATTTTTTTTATTTTGTGTTCCAAGTGAGGGTTTGTGGAAAGGGTTCTGTCTTCTTGGTACCAAAACTTCAAATAAGGTTCCTTCTCCAAAGGGTTAATATAATAAACTTTATTTTTGAAGCTTTCAAATTAATCAGCCAAAAATATGTAAGTGGATGATATATTAGTCAATGATAGTGAAAATTTTCAAGCATTGAAAATGATTTCAACAAAAATGGATTTCACTGCAAGTAAAATAAGTGCTTTTTTTTTTTTTATTTTTTTTTCAACCAAATGTGAACTCTGCTAGGACTGACTTACAAGGACAGAATTGACATGTGGTTCATGTTTTAACACTGAAATTATTTTGGGGGATCAATATAATTTTGTAGAAATTTCCTCCTACCACATAGCTTTGGATATACAAACTTATTTTTTATAGACTACATTTATGAAACAGTTTAAAAAAAATTGCCTTATGCTCCTGTGATAAATATAATTGTTGCCAAAGAAATTTTGGTATATACATTTTGGTTTAATTATCAAAATATGTATACTATAGGTAAATGAGACACTACAATAACTAAAAATAAAAATGGAATATTTAATCAGTAATTATGTTTGGGATTAAAGTAAAATAGATACACCAATTTACCTTTAACATTGAGATCAAATATATCAATGGAGCATAAAACTAAATTCATTAAAAGAAAAATATGTACAGACATGTATAAAGATTAATAGAAATTGATTAAAAAAATCTAAACACAATATATACAAGACATCAATTTAAAAATTTGCCCAAGTAATCTTTTGACAGTTTAAAAAATATTTTCATTTAAAAATTTAAAATTACTGAAGCATAAATATAAAATATAATTGAATATATATTTAAACCATCCAATACTTCTAAAAAATTGAATATAGATAAATCTTACTTTAAAAAAAAAGAAAAAGAAAATGTAACATGTATATTATGAAATATATGTGTGTGTGTGTGTGTGTGTGTGTGTGTGTATGTATATATATATATATATATACTTACATATGACTCTTACGTGGAACCGAATTGTAATCATTGGACTTCTCTCCATCTAAAAGTATTGAGACAACCATTCAGTACAACAGGTTTATCAATTTTACTTTAATAATCATTTACTAAATATTAAACATCAGATAAATTTGGTTATATTTTACATGTCAGTTGTGTTTACTGTTTTGTAGGTTTGAGATTGCAAAGAACTTAACATCATTGTATGTAGGTTAGTATGAACTAATTAATCACATTTCAGTTATATACTTTTTAGGTCCCTTTGGGTATGTGTTATCTTCTGGAATCTCAAATCTGAGGGAAGTGCACTTTCTCATATACACGAGATATGGTGCGTGCATTTGTGTTCTTAGGATTATCTTCTCTTGACCTTTGCACTCCGATCTCTTAAGCCATGTCTCTGAAATTTCAAGTTCTTTCTGATAAAGTGCTCTTGTAAGTTTGTAAAGTCAATCCTGAGACTGCTGAATAATTGACCTGAGCATCTAAAGTACCAGTACAGATACTTCTACCTTCTTATTCTCTAATTCTGTTTCCTATTCTGACAATTCCATAAAGGTTGGTAATGTTCTACATGACAAAACATTTACAGGAAAAAATAATGTACAAAATTTTAAAATTGATTTTTCCTAAATTGTTTGTAGTTCATCTATTCTCTAAAATATTATATTTACTAACCCTTTTGATATGACTTTCATATAATGTTTAAGGAGTTTCTGAGACCTTCAATAAGCACTAATTTTTAGATCCAAATGTTCTTAATACAAAGTTACTTTCGGTAACAGTATTAATTATTATGTAACAAATCTCTGGAATTTTATATATATATATATATATATATATATATATATATATATATATATAATAAAACAAGGTGTATTTCAACAGCAAAAATTCTCTCAAACATATTTCATTAAATAATGAACAAGTTTTGTCTATCAATTTTTTTTTTTTTATTAAGTCTTTCAAAGTTGTTTTAGCAGTAAATTAGCCAAAATTAATGTTAACTTTTATTTTACACTAGCTTAAAAGCCACACTCCATATAGACTTTTAAGCTAGCTCCTGCGTATGGCTAATTGGGCCTCCAGCCTAAAATTAAAGAGACCTTTGGTTTAGCTTAGAAAACAGAAATAATAATTTTGAAGAAATAACTTTGAAATCACTCCAGTTCAGAACAAAAATTGACTTCTTCAAATCAGACTTTGTGGAACTTAAACTCTCATTTACCAAAACCTCTCATTTTAACTGATTCCTTGGCATTTTGGAGAAATAAAACTGATTTCCCCAAATCACAAAGTTTTGGAGATATTTTAAACTGTCTTGTATTACCTTAAACTCAATGTAAATTAAAACTTTGTTATATACCATACCTATGAACACTAATGGGTATGTCCCAATCCACATAAATATGTTGGTCACTATTGTAAGTGGGGGTAACATGCTGCCTAAGTAGTCCACCACTAGCAGTGGTTTACCTACTTCACTCTACTGGCATGTATTGTATTTTGTTGATGTTATAAAGATTACCATTACATTTCTGACCTCCATTTTGGTTATTCCTCATTCAGTAACCTTTTATAGGCTACAACAAACTTAAAATCAATTTTTTTTTCAGATATTTTAAAATTTGAATTTTTAACAGTTCCTTCCTCATCTGGACACAAATTCCAATAATCCTGATCCCAAAAAGGAATAATATGTCTATGTAGAACAAGCGTAGCCAAAGTTAGAGTGGTTTCAGATGTGCAGAGAGAATTTGCTTGCTTGCTTGCTCTTTCTTTCTCTAGATAGGTAGATAATCCCCCATCACAGAGTGCTTTCGAATGTTGCTCCATTCATTTTCAAGGATTGTTCTGTGTGTAGTTACACAACTGTTTTTTTAATTCTGGCATTCTTACATTTGATCAAATCAATTTCATGTCACTCAAGGTGATATCATATAAATGGTGAAACTGAAATTTTTATGTGTGCATGGGATTTTTTGGGATGGGTGGGGGAAATTTATTTGGAAATTTGAAAGATTTAATAAAAAAGTTGATAGACAGATCTTATTCATCTTTACATATTAGAGGAGATGAGTAGAAAAAAATGTATAAGTTGGTATTAATATGCATAAGGCTCTGAATCCAAACTGTGATGTTGATAGGCTATATATTCAAAGGAGCATTCGAGGGTTAATGAGCATTGAAGTATTTGAAAATTATGTTACAATTTATCATGAATTGCTTCTGAAAGCTGTACAAACAGTGAATAGAGATTTCAAAGCACAAAATGTTGTGCCAGTGACTGCAGCAAAGAAGCAATCTAAGAAGAAGCTGCAGGATCATGAGCAGACAAAAATAATTGCAGAACCTGAGAGATGGCCTTTGGATAAAAGATGATTATCAAAAGAGAAAAAAAAAAAAAAAAAAAAAAAAAAAAAGTCACTTATATTTGTATCAGTGAAGGCCATCAGAATGAATGAAATCAAGGCAAGAATCAACAGATCATGAAAAGAAAACAGATGCAAGATGTGAGAATAGTAAGAGTCAAATTACTGACTTTTCTGTTCCATATGATTTAAGAGTGAACTCCAATGAAACTGAAAAGATTGAAAAATACCAGAATCTGGCTTGAGAGCTGAAGAAACTATGGAACATGAATGTAGAATTAATTCCTGTTAATAATGGGTGCAATTGAAACAGCACTTAGAAAACTGAAAACTGCTTAGGGAAAGTTAGAATTGAGACCAAGATTGTAGTTCTCCAGATAACTGCCATGGGGATTTTTTGAAAAGTTCTTGAGGCATGAAGATTCTTGTTGATACCATGCCTTAAGAACAAAATTTTCATTGATTATAATGATGTGAAAAACAATAATAATACTGGTATCTATTGTATCTTGTCTTAAAATAACTTATTTTACAAATTCATCTTGTTTATGAAAGTTTGTTTAGCAAATGGTCTGCTTTAAAATGAACCCTTATCTATACTTCATTTTCTTTTTTTTTTTTACTTGTAATTTGTTATGAAAAAATCTAGATTATTGGTGATCAAAATAGATCAACAATAAATATAGAAAATACTTCTGTGTTAAGGACTTGTATTTCATTGTAGTTCTTATATTTTAACTTTTAATTTAAATTCATATTGATTTTTTTTTCATCTCCAAATTTATATTATATTTAGTCAATGAAAAATGGGTCTACATTACACTTGCACAGAATTAAAAATGCTATTGGAGATTTATTTTGAAGTAAAAATTGAATGGAGTTTGCAAATATTGAATTCTATATATTTTTTATTCATAGAGTTGAGGAAGTAATTAACAGAAGCTAGGTAAACACTTTTCATCAAAAAAATAATAAAAAAAAAAAAAAATAAGGAAGATAAAAGTAGGTTTTGTCCTACATTGCACTTTAAAGGAATGGATATTTAAAAGTTGGGTACCTGAATTCCAGTTATCCAATTTTAAAAAAGTCTATAGATTACAGTTTTTCAAAACTAATTTTTAGGAGGTGATGGACACCATTCCTTTACACTGTCAAAACTTGATCAGCTTTTCTTCCACTGGTGGTGGGAGTAGGCAAGATTACATTAGTGAGGTATCAGTATAGTGTAGGATTACTTTTGAATACAGTTCTGATGATGTATGGACTGTATGATGCCTGTTAGATGTTTGTCTATTTTCTAAGATTGGGTGTTTAAGTAGTTTCTTTGGGTGTTGTCCTTCATGCTATAACAATTGTTAGTACGATTATAACATTACAAGTATCACTTTTGTACTATATGGGTAGTTTAAATTATAGTTTAGAATGCTAGTTTATGGTATATAAATGTTTCAATCCACTTGTAATACAATTGTGCATAACAGAACTTTAATTCACTAAATGTTTCTTTTTCAACTGTAAATTGTTCAACAGCAAATTCACTTTCCTGGAGTACGCAAACATCTTAACCTGGTTGATATCTTAAGTGACAGTGCTCCCAGAGCTGTTTCTTCAAATTATGTACATGCTTGCTATTACAGCTATAATGTTTTGTTGATATTTTTAAAACCTAATTTAAAACTAGGTCATTTACATACAGAATAATAGTATTTCCATGATACTATACAGAATAATAATATTTCCATGATACTATTCAATAAAATACTGGTGTGTTTCTGAAGTATTAGGGCAGATTCCAGTTTTACTCAAACCATTGACAGTTTCATTCATGAAGAACATTCAAACTCATCCTTTGAGCATTTTAAATGGAAATGTTCAATTATTTCTACATAATGGTCAATGTCTTGAAAGAAAAAGTTTTACTGGCTAATACTTTATCAGCAACTTGCTTAATGGATGGCATATGAATTTAGCAAATGATAATAGATCTTTGTGGAATATAGTGTTGGATTTCAGGGAAACTATATACATAATAGTTTACTGTGATGTTGATTTAGCTATCTGTTGGATTTGTCAGTTTCTGTTAAAAGTTTGTAAGTAGGCCAACTTTTCCAGCAAACCTATTGTTTTGAACTTGTAAATGTTTATATTAGTATCACTGTAGAATCAACCAATGTTTTTCTCCTTGGGGGACACTAGTTTGTAATTTTTTTGGACTTATAAACCTAATGTCTCAGTTTACATTATTTTTTTTTTTTTTTAAACCAGAGCTCATATTCCTTTTTTTTTTCTTTTTTTTTTTAAAGTGACTTGACCCAAAAAGTTGACTTCATTCCCAGGCCTCAGTGGAAAGAAAAAAAATTATCACGGCTGATTAATTACAACTGAGATATTCAAAAAGGCATGGTATGTGGAATTAGGACAATCTATCCCTGTGAACTAGATGATGGGCTTGGTTCAAAATTCCAACAAATATCACCTGAAGAAGGCCAGAGTGTACAATGGTCAAAACATTGTGAAAGTAACAACAGCCTGAAGAATGTAAATAGTAATTTTTTTTTAATTAATTTTTTATCAGATATTCATTACTATAAAAACTTGTAGAGATTTTGAGAAGTGAGTTTAGCCTAAAACTTCAGTAATCCTCTTGTACAAACTCTTTGAGTGAACTAAT